TTACCCACTGATTACAGTGCTTATTAATAGAGGGCCATGTGAATCTTTGGGTAAACAAANGTACTATAGTAAAAAGATATCTCTTGCCCTCAGAAGGAGGTAAATGCCCAACTATATCCAAATGTACGTTGGAAAATCGTTGTGTTGGCGCTATAAAATTTCCATGAGGCGACTTGGTATGTCGATTAATTTTTGTTGCTTGGCATTTTAAACAAAACTTTACCCACTGATTACAGTCCTTATTAATAGAGGGCCATGTGAATCTTTGGGTAAACAACCGCCTTGTTGCTTTGGTACCAGGATGCGACAAACTATGCAGATTTTAAAAAATGTTTCTCCTAAATTCAAGTTGNGTATGTCGATTAATTTTTGTTGCTTGGCATTTTAAACAAAACTTTACCCACTGATTACAGTCGTTATTAATAGAGGGCCATGTGAATCTTTGGGTAAACAACCGCCTTGTTGCTTTGGTACCAGGATGCGACAAACTATGCAGATTTTAAAAAATGTTTCTCCTAAATTCAAGTTGTATGTAAGGTCTTACACAGTGTAATCGGAATAGAATATTTGTTGGGCAAGGTTATTTTGTTTAAAAACATGTAATCCCCGCAGGGCCGCCAATCCCCATTTTTCTTAGGGACCATGTGCAATGGGTCAGCCCAGGCACTTTTAGAAGGTTGGATGATACCTTGGTTTAACATGAATTTGAAATTCTTTCTTCGCAATTGCCAAGCGCTTAGGATTTTNGTATGTAAGGTCTTACACAGTGTAATCGGAATAGAATATTTGTTGGGCAAAGTTATTTTGTTTAAAAACATGTAATCCCCGCAGGGCCGCCAGCCAATCCCCATTTTTCTTAGGGACCATGTGCAATGGGTCAGCCCAGGCACTTTTAGAAGGTTGGATGATACCTTGGTTTAACATGAATTTGGAATTCTTTCTTCGCAATTGCCAAGCGCTTAGGATTTTATCTTCGAGCTTTCGCAGGTTTTCCGAAAGTTTCAATGAAATGAAAAGCAAGAGTCTCCTTTGGGTGTTTTAAAGAAGAGTTCATACTTATAACCTCAGGAAATTGTCTTAAAATTTTTTGATATGTATTCTGAATTGTCCTTCAGTATGCGTGAAACAGAAACGGACGCAATTCTCGTAAGCTAGGCTTTAGTTTCAACGCAGGTTGTACCATCTACTAGAATACCATTGCGTAAATCCGGAAGTAAATTGGGATGCTTAAGAAAATCAGACCCGGTAATAGGGTGTGTAACATCAGCGACAATAAAAATCCAACTAAATGAACGTCTTAAACCAAAGTTTAATTCTAAAAACTTCATAGCATGCGTTTTGATTTCAGTGCCGTTGACGGCATAAAGTTTCAATGGACACCTATGTAGTAAGCTGTTGAACTGTTAAATTTGTTGCCGTAATGACAGAAGCGTCAGCACCAGTATCAATTAAGAAAGAGAGATTTGAAAAACGATCGTTTACTTAAAGGCGACTAGTACTTGATAAAATTTCGAGCGCCGCGGGACCCGAAACTTTTGCTAGTTTTTTTGGTTGTTTATATGAGCACGGTTGAATGCATTTAGATGCTTTGATGCCGAAACGATTATGGTACTAACACCAATCTTTCCTTTTGGACTTACTACTACTTTTATTTCTACTTACCATTGATTTCGCTCTACTGTTACTTCTCCCGTGCACTACTTCATTAAATTTGCGATCTAAAACTTCCATTTTTGCAGACAATTGATTGATCACGCTATTAGTATTTGATAGGGCTGCTATCTGTGGGCGAGAAATGTCCAGTAATTTGTCAGCTTGTTGCGCCAGCTCCGTAAGCTCTGCATTGCTTGTAGCCAAAATTGATCGAACATTGTCCGGCAACTGGTCAAGAAAGAGGATTTTTAAAACATCTGCCAATGCTTTCATTGACTACAAAAAATGTGTCGGCTTCTGATCTCCTATCACCAAACCTCCAAACAATTTCTTTAACTTCGCTTCCTTCGAAATGGCAAAAGATGATATTAGGCGTTGCTTGATGGCTTCATATTTATCGTCTTCTGGTGGAGATAGCAAAAGGTCTCCGACAAATTTTAAATGTACTGCACCTAAATTAGCGACGATGTGCGCGTATTTTGTCTCATCTCTCCTGATTCGCGAAAGTGAAAAGAGTTTCCACCTGAACGAACCATAGCTGTGGCTGTTCGGACCAAAAGGGACGTAGCTTGCATACCGTTACCGCTCTGACCTCTACATTATCCGATATGCCATCTCCTCTAGGGGGATTCGCTGGAGGAACAGGAGATCGGCTTACAGACATTTTTCTTCTGTGTGTGTGTCGGGGTCACCAAAAATATAGAATATTTAGTTGAAAAGATGATTGTATCCTTTGGGAAAGAAATTTTAATAAATTTGATAACAGACAAAGTTCACAAAGG